TTGCACAGGAAAAAACTCCTGTCAGCTGTCGCATCATACCTGGAGATTTTTCATTTGTCAACTTCAATGTGGTCTCTGGTTTATCAGGTGAACACCACGGAAACATCACGCTATGCTTGTCCTTAAACTACAGGCCAGAACCACAGTACAACACTCTCCACAACAACACTGTTGTTCCTCTTGGATCATGTCAGGTTAGAGGGAATCATTTTGACCTTTGTCTCTTGTTCAGGATGCACAGACAAATTCTGCAAGTGAATTAACATAAATGAAGGATGATTTTACTTACTTTTGTTTAAACAGTGGCCACTAAATAGGGACTGATGAAAATGACTGAACGATTTTCTCTGGACACCAAACAGTTGTGTATTTTATGTATTGAAACTGACTCTTCTATTAGAATATTAAGCTTATTTGAATCCAGATATTCAGACAAATCTAATTGCAGTCGAAGTCAGTCTGATTCATAATGCAGCAGCTTGCAGCGGTAGATTAGAATGACAAGAAAGATTAGAGACTGTGGGGATTTTTGATGTTTGAGACCAAATTGCTTAAGTTCAATAATTAGATTGTCCAAAGCTAAGCAAATAGCAAAAGGTAAAATATGTCAATCATTGTGATGAAATTACCTGTTACTCATCTGTTCATCTGATATTATATTATGCTGGAAAAAAGGGCAACAAGTGGCAGTTATTGTCATGGCATAATAAAAGGAAGTGGAACATTCATACAAGGTGGCATGTTGTCAGCTATCAAATTACTCCTGAGTGTTTTTTATGTTATTTCAGAAACTAATTTAGTTCTCAGTGTACAAGCATTCTGGTATCTGTAGATGAACCACACTTTCATTACGAGAGCTCACATTTACACAGAAAGGTTCATTTGAGTCATTTACAAAATATGTTGAGAATGACAGATTTTATAGATTTTTTTTATTTGTTTTTACAGACTTTTTGTCACAACAAAGTCAGCAAGAGCATCTTTTTTTGTCTGTAACATTGTAGTAATTCATTTGAAAGCAACAGAAAGAACACCGATCATTTCATAGCATAAAAGCAGAGGCTGTTTTGACATGCAGCAACACAGGCAGGGCTTCTAACCAAATCTAAGGCAAGGGGAATATTAACAGCCCCCACCATCAACTTTCAGCTCCAACCTCCTCTTACCCATCATTCACAGCCCTCGGGGCTCAACAATAACAAAATACACAGAGAAGCTGCAACAAAAGAGGATTTTTTTTTAGATATGAAATCTCACTCCAGGGATGACAAAATGAACACAACTCTAAAATTCCTCCTCCTATTATAAGCTGTTAACATTACTTCAGAGGGGATTCAGTAATATTTCAAAACTGCAACATTCAAGTCCTTCTAGTTAGCCAGCATAATGATTGGTCAAAGAATACGGAACCTTTTGTGCATTACCAACGTATAATTTGTCATAAACACCGTTTGATATGTGAGTGATAACAGGGTCAAGCAGAAAAGGAAAAGCTGACCTCTGGACCTCTCTCACCCAACATTTACAAAGCTTCAAGACTGGACTAAGGGGACAACTTGGTCTATTTAAAAAAAAACAGGCCACACATACTGAAAGGTTAAATAATGAAATTGTATGTTTCAATCTATCTCATAGTACAGTGCAATTAAGCCCTGGCCATAAAATACTTGTACTGAAGTTGTAAAAACACACTACTGAGCTTTGACCATTTCATAAGAGATTCTTAAAAATGAGAGCTGTGTACTTAAGTGCTAAGCTTTGAGCTTACAGTATAGTCTGATTTCTAGTCTGCATCTAGTCTGCAGTGTTTAGGATCCATGTAAGGTGAGAGCACTGCCCCAGTGTTTGGTCTCTAAGGGAGAGATAATTGACAAGTCCTTCTTAAATGGCTACAAACAGAGGTCAAATGAAGAAAAACCCCCACCCCAAAAACCCGGGGCAAAAAAAAAAAAAAAAAAAAAAAACAATCAGCAGACAAACAAAGTGATGCTCCAACAAACAGACAAAAGCAGTGTTAAGACAGAGGCTGCCTGGGGTAGTAGGGGTGAGTCCGTCTTCTGTTGGGGGACCGCTGCGTCCATCTGTGTGTCCGCTCACCCACCTGTCCAGCCACCTCCTGCACCATGGTGTCTCACTTGAGCAGAGCCTTAATTGCGTCACAGTTGGCAGCATCAGAGGCACTGATGCCGTCCGGTGTTTTGTGGTCTTTGTCAGCTCCCTGTGGAGGAGAGAAGGCATGAATATTAAATATACTTAGTAGGGCAATCAACATTTACTCAGGTCAGGTCATCCATGCCCTTTCGCAATGAAATTACTCTGTGTACTAAGAAGTCAAAGGACTCACCCCAGGAACTAAAGTTAAGCAGAATCAGCTAACCGTCATGAGTCACGACAGTCGCCTAAAGTATGCTAGATCGCTGCCCATATGGTGGTGGTGGTGTAAACTTGGAATGTCAATCTGCAAACTGGCACAGCGTGTCTAGAATGGTTCCTACAAATGTCTTGCCTATGACCACAGGCCCTTGTTGGACAGCTACCCTGGTATGTGACCAAAACATTAACGGCAAAACTTCGGCCACTTTTATTTTCTTCCAATTCAGTCACTAAGCACTTGCCTGTAAGCCTGTCTTTATCCGGACAGCAAAAGCAAGACAAAGCCAGAGAAGCTGTGGCACAAATCCATTTGAGCTCTGAGGGATAACTGAGTGAATGTGAAAGCGATGTGACTGGATGCAGTCATTTGGATTAGGGAGGACAAAAACAAATGGAAAAAAAAAAAAAAAGATGAGAGCGGCAACGTGTTGACTGCACATTTAGTGACAGCAGATTTAATGGGCAATGGAGAAGTGGAGGGGCATGGAGTGGAGCAACGTCCTGTTTGGCCTGCCAACTTGAGCCTCATAGCAAAGAGCTTACAGAGCCAAGGCAGAGAGAGTCTATTGTTGCGTGGAGAGGCAAGGCATCAAAAACAATGTTACCCAGTTTAAGTGCCCGGCGGTGTGAGGAAGGCTGTCTGTGTGCAAATTCCTTGCCACAAAAGCAACAGAGCGCATCCCAAGCAAGAGAGATTTACCAGGGCTGAGCGGGTAACCTGTCAGATCTACATCTCTAATTAGCAAAGAGAAGAGAAACAAAAAGTAGGAAAGGGTTTTACCAATTCACGACACGCTTTATATTTCTAGGAAGTGCAACGCCAGTGGTTAGCGCCCTGTTATCTAACACTGGAACACTGGAACTATGACGACTGGTGAACCCAGCTCCTTCAGAACAAAGCCAGCGGTTTAAACACAAAAGTGCAAAGTAGAAGTTGTAATAAAGTATCTGAGTGTCTAACTTTTCAAAAGCTGCTGACTCATTTGGATCATGTAACCAGTCACTGTGCTCTCCACTCTACTGAGGTCAGGGGAAGACGGAGAGGATAGGGCAATATGAGGAGGGTCTTGTTCTCGCTGCCTTCTTTCTTCAGCTCTGGGGAAATCATTAGTTACTGGTTCAAGACTACCTAATAACTGAGTCTACAGAGCCCCTCTATTTAGATGGCAGGAAACAGCAACACACCTTGACCCTAGCCCTTTCGCCATCATTAGTACGCTTGCTAGGAAACAAGGCATCTGACAAACACAATTACAAACCTTTTGTGTACCACCATATTTGACAATGAACATTCCCATCTTCTACTCAGCTATGTGGCCCTAACCAGATTGATACTCCCCATGGGCATTTCGGGTCGGGTTCTAAAAATAGCTCTGGCCCATACTCCTCTCCATTACTGCCTCTCAGGATACACTATACTATACCCAGTGCCCATCCAACTCCATCTGACACCACTTACAGTAACGAGCTTGTCCTAACTTGAATAATGACCCCTTATGAATGCCTCATTGTCCAAAATGTATCCAATCAAAGAGAAGCGAGTGGCCAAGTGAGACACAGTCTAAGAATAAGACTAGACTCCCAGGGTGTCTCTAGTTAAATTCTGATGCATTGATATTCTGAAATATGGAGCCAAACAAAGCAGCACTTGGTCAGTAACAAAATGCCACTGACTTACCAAAGTGCCCATTAAGTTTTCATTACGCCATTAGTGAAAGGAATTGAAATGTCTCCTGTGAATAAGTCAAAACCTATTTGAAATGCAATGCTTACATCAGAGTATTGACCTGCTGGCAGCAGTCAGACATTACCAACCTGTAAAAGGGTAAATGTTCTAACACCCAGTGAAAAGGGGACGATCAATACCTCTATCTGAACAGGCCGTGTCAGCTTAGGTTCTGCTTAAAATGAAGAAACTAGGTGTGGATTAAAGAGCTTCGCATTTTAAATTTAATGATATCGAGTGTTTGGAATGCGAGTCCAAGTCTTTTAGGCTGACTGGAGTTTAGAGTCGCAATGCTTAGTTGATTAACGATGGACAGAAAATTCTATCGTGATGACCATTTTAAGCACAACTGCCAAATATTCCCAGGTTCCCGCATCTCAAATGAGATGACTTCTTCTCTGTGTCACTCAATATTAAAATGAATATACCTGGGGTTTGGAACAACAACTTAATAAAATGAGCCATTTGCACTGTAAGAACTTAGGTATTTCAAACATGTTAGAAATATAGCACATACTAACAAAAACTTAATTGCAGCCCAATGTGAATGTATATGGTCATATTTAGTTGAAGGCCAGTGTTCTGTTACAAAAGTAGTAGTAGCTAAACAATCCTTGCACCAAAGAGGAATCAAAAGTGTAAAGGTTTTCATATAGCTTCTGTACAAGAAGCACAAAATGCCTTCTCCTTATCACAGCAGCCTATCCCGTTCTGTAACCTTGTAAGGTGTTCTTCCCCTAATCCCAGTTATTCGGAAAGCAGTACCCAGACACAGCAATGTACAAAAGATACATCTATAGAAGCAAAACAATCACTTTTTTCTATTACTTCTTTGTGACTTTACAGGCCTATAGTGTAGAAACAGTATCTGGGAATTCAGTCAAGTATATCATGTGAAGATTATATCTACTAGCCCGTTTCACTTTAATATTCTTACTTTGTGACTACTGTGAGGAAAAAGAGTTCATCCTTCCCTTCTTTGTATCAAGAACACACAAAAAGGAGGAGGCCTTATGTGGTGAAGTTTAAAAGAAATGACAATAGGAAGTGACTTAAAAATAATACTGCTTTTCTTTGTGGTTTTCTCAGTGGTCGTGCTCAGTTCCTCATAAAAGATAAAAACACGTGCATTCATCTGTGCATGACCTTTCACTGTAAAGCAAAATTAACTGGCAGGCCTCTGCAGGCTGTAGTCTGTACTGTCGGCCAGGATCTTACAGCTGGGTCACCTATTGGGGTTAAAATGGCCTTTCATAATTCACTGCCAACAGCAGCACAGTACACCATCACTGGGGGTGGAGGGGGGCACAGGTCCACTCCCGAGGTGCACTAGGGAAGCGAGCCATTTTGTCTGCCAACACAATGTCTGACAGTCCAATAGTCACATTTCAGTATTCTCAGCAGGCTCTTTTCATACACTGAAAAGAGGTAGCTGTGGTGCTACAGGTGTCACCAGACAGAGTGGATGGTGTGTTTCTGGGACAACCTATTCCTCTCAGGTTAAGACAGATGGTGCGTTTTCAGAGGTGTCAGGCGTTGATGTATTGAGATCTCATTCCCTTGGTGACTAATGACCTTTTGGGTGCTTCTGGTTGTTAATCTTCGTTGGCGCATAGCAGAGAGGATATGAAGACCCATGGGTTTGCTCAAATCTTTGTCTTCCACTACAGTCTCTGTTCAGATGAGCTATGGCTGCCTGTTTGTCCACCCAAAGGGTCTTCATTAGATACCATTTCAGATGTACAGGGGCCTCTGTCTTTCAGGAGGATGAAATGTGGCTCTGGAAATATGAATGATAACAGGGGAAATAAAGGAAAATGACCATCTTCAATGATGAAGTCTATTTAATTTTATAAAGGGAGAGTATGCAGGTTTTAAATGCAAATCCACTGTGATGTCAGGGTGACATGTAACAATACATTATTAAAAACTCCTACGGACATAATTCCTACTTTCAGTCTGAACAATGTACCTGCCCTTGCTTGCCAATGTTACACTAGTAACCTTTCTAGCAAAGAACTAAGTGAGCAGTAAACAGTTATTTTCATCCTGTTGGCACTGGCTGCTTCCCTCACTTATCTTTGAGCCAACAGTACCCATGGCCAGCTGACTGCATTAGCCAGCTGTCAGCCAGCTGCTGGCCAATTGCAGGCTGCTGGCCATTAAGATGTGAAGACCGGGGCATGTGGGTGATTAATACAACCAATGCCAGCAGAAATATGTAAGCAGTGGAGTATCACCTAAGTGTCTCTCTAACCTAACACCAATGCTGCCGCTACACAGATGACTATTTCTTCTTTTCAAACATCTGCTTCAAAGTGCAATAGAAACTGTTAAAAAGTCTGCTTGAATGGTGCATATGCAACTGTATAGGGTATAAAAAACAGGCCTAATCGGTAGAGTGACTGAGCTTATGAATGCCCCCTCTCCTCTTCCCATTACTTTCGTTGAGCCAAGATAATACTGCCGTGAAACAACTCTGTAGAGGAGCCTTCATTTACCGTGCCCCATTTAGCCTGGCTGGTAACAGACAGCTGCTCACTCATCCTGAGCCCCAAAATATCTCTCTCTCCATCTCACAGACACATGCAACAGAAAGCATAACAGCCATGTACATGACATCATGTACTCTCCCAAGTTGTTTCTCTTACAGTGGCACAATTCTTGATTATAATGTGAAAACTCAAATCTTTGATTATCTACAAAGCTACACCATGCCCACTGCTAAGCTCTCGTCCTTTTCATCATCGTGATGTTGCAGTGGAATGGCCTGCAGTTAACAGATGTGACCAATATGCCTGTCTTGCACTTTAAATTTATGGGTGATACGGGCCAAGATACAGATATGAAAAGAATAATGACATCAAATAGGACATTATCAGCTAAGTGCACCTGTTCTATTCTACAAAAAAAAAAAAAAATCTTGTATTGAATAACAGATGAGTGCTGGTCACAAAGACACGACTGAAGGAGGTAATGAAAGACAAGGAGCCATTGTGGCCCCCCATTTGTGTGACAGTCATTGTCCACTGGGGCATCAGTTCCACTGTAGTCTGGCTCAGTTGGGTTATGGTGAAACAGAACGCCACCAAATTAAATGAATAGGAGATCTGTGGTGTGCATGTATTTCTGAGTCATTCAGGGAGCTCCTCCACCATATGAGGGCTTCTGTTTGACTACGACAAATCTGTTTTCTACTGCTGGGTGACACTGGTTGGATTGGACATTTATTATCATATGCTTGTTATTCAGCTGCATTGCTATAGCCAATGCCAGCTGTGCCTGCCTCAGTATTGTCTCTCTGCCTGCAGCTATGTGTGTATGCACATGTCCATATACACCTATCTAAATGGGTTGCATTTATGATTGTTACAGAGCTAAACAGCTGATGGGACTGAGGTAGAAGGGTGGAGCAGAGATTTAGATGAATGAAATGGATTAAAACACAAACAAAGCAAGCAATCAGCAGCAACACTGTGTGATGCTCTATGAACATTCCAGCACAGCCTCCACAGGCCTGTGTTAAAGCGGCCTTTTGTCCAGAGTGTAACCTCATCAGTACTCATGGCCCACAAGGAACCCCTAACACATCAGCTTGCACCAATAGTAGCACCAGGGCGCTTCTGTGCACAAATGCATGTATGAATACACTCTCGAATCAGAGTACTGACCTTTTCTAGCAGGAGCTTGACACAGGAGAGGTGACCCTCGAAACAGGCCGAGGTCAGTGGAGTGAGCCCGTATTTGTCTGGAGCCTGTAGGGGCAGCAGGTGGGAAGGGCATGAGTGAAAGAGAGGGGAAAAAACAGCTGAATTTTTAGAGGAAAGGTTCTTATATCTGCAAGTCCTAGGCTAGGTCCAAATGCTACACAATGGCACATGTAAATAAGAAAGAACTGTGAGAGCAGGCTTATTTCTGGGTGCTGTGATGATGAGTTGTTGTGTTCAGTCATTCTCAGGCAAAGGGTGATGTGCAAATAAGTAGAGCTGCCCCCTGAAAGTCGACTGGCTGAATCATTAGTTGAGAGACCTGTAAGTCAAGAGACTCCTCTAGTCAAAACATTATTTTATTTTTTGTCAGTCATTATGCATTACAATAGAATGCTGCCACAGCCCATGTTAGTTTATCATCATCTTCTCCTTATTTTGGTGTACCAAGCAGCAATTCACGCAATGCTGCCTACATTTTACATCCGGCCACTATGTGTTGAACTGTCTATGGGACCTCTTTTCAGTCTGTATGTGGGGTCCTGTCTGGTGAGGTAGACCCCTGCTTTGACTGATCTGGTACTTAGCACCTGTTCTTCTGCTGTCTAATAGACCAGCCCATTTCAGCCACTGTTAGGATTTCCCAATGTCAGCCACCTCAGTTATCTGTCAGTGGTACATCCCATGCAGGGCCTTATCATGCCATGGCACTTTCTCTGGCTGGTCTTCAGTCCATGCCCGTTGCTGTCTCAAACATTCTCTCAGCAGCTTGTCCGTGGGTGCCATTTTACTCATGTACTCCTGGATACTCAGGGTTTCATCACTCACCAAGCCCCATCCACCCTCTTTCCAGCTGGTGTACAGTCTCTGGGTGGAAGCCTCTCTGCATTGTGAGGGGGTTCCGGGTCTTTACATCAGCAGTCTCCATGTCCTTGTTTGGGCGGCTCCAGCACAGTATCTGATGACTGGCAGGGTGTATGTGCTGATGGCTTGGCTCGTGTTCCTCCCACTGAGCTGGCTTTTCAGGACCCATCTTATCTTTTGATGGTACTTGGAGATTGTTGTCTTTCTTGCCTCCTCATCATGTTTCTCATGTGACTGTGGGATACCAAGGTACTTGTAGATGGTCTGTATCATCAGATCCATAAGAGATGAGAACTTGGACCTGGTGTGTCTGTGTCTGTGTGTGTAAATATTTTAAGAATGAGTAGTCACACTGAACAGCTGACTGACAAATGTCTTACTCAGATACAAAATTACAAATAACAGAAACAGACAACCATATCGGTTGGGGGGGGGGTTCTGGCGAGTCCAGACAACTGCTCAACAAGCAAAAGGACAACAGCTGAAACAGCATATGATAATCAGTTTAGCAGTGGGCTTAGACTGGGTAAGCAAGCAGACATAGGCACTGTAATTTTTTTTGTGGTCAATACAACCCTGGGCAGTAGGCAAATTAAAGTAAAAAGAATGCAATGTGAGCTGGATGCTGTGGCTCTTACATTGATATCTGCTCCCTTAGAAATGAGGAAGTCCACCACATCCGTCTGACCAAAATCTGCAGCATAGTGCAGAGGCTTCCTCCCACCTTCTAAGGTCCGGTTAACATCCTCAGCCTGGAAAGAAAAAACATATTAAAAGGGCTGAAATAAATTAACTCAACGCTGTCACAAGTCAACAATATGCATTAAAGACCTGAGGACACCTTTAACTTGCATGGAAACTCACTGTTGATGCAAGCTCCCACCTAATTTTAGTGTGAAACAATTACATGCACAGCATCCTCTCCCCTTCCCTTCCCTGCCGTGTGGTTAAATGAATGTGATGACTGATTTCACAAAGAGCCTGTTAAGGTCTTTAACTGTGACCATTCAACAATAACAGAATTGCTGCCAACATCTGATTTCACTCACTCACCTTTATCACAAAGTCTAGTTAATGTGAAGTACAACACTCTAGGGCTGCTTGATTATGGCAAAATCATAATAACGATTATTTTGGCCAATCAGACCATTTAACACAAATACGCTGACTTTGGTAACATGTTTAGGAACAAAATCATGCAATTATTGAACTTTTTTAAAGATCATAATCATTTTATCTTGATTTCATAATCTTTGGAAGCCACAAATTAAAACAAAATTTGATTCATCACCCAGCCCTACAACACACTGAAGACAAGTGCTCATTTTACACTCAGTACCACCAAGTCCTTTAGCAATGATGGATAACAAACCTCAATCCATCGACTCATCGGTTAATCAACTAAAGCACTGTATTTGTTTATTCCCAGACATGTGTAAATAATTAAATGGCATTGGGTCACAGCAAACTATCAGAAATGAGAAAGCATTTCTTGTAGGTGGAAAATTCTAAATGTGACAGTCCAGTTCTGCTCCCAATTTAGCAACTGTATCATTATCATGACTTTACAGTAACTATTTGTAATGGTGGCATCTAAAGGCACATAAGAGTCAAACCTTCCAAGGTCTATGCACCAAGCTAGCTCTAACATTAAGATGTGTCCTCTGTCTTGGCATCCTGTAGTTTGTCTTAAAAGCAAGATTTAGATGTTACTGGCTTTTACAAGGTGCAAAAACAGATGCATGTGGGAGAAGGCTATTGTGCATTTATTCACTAGAACTGCCTTACTGACCATTTCAGAAATAAAATTTAATTTATCAAGGGGCTACAGCCAACACCATTTAATTATCATATCACCATAATGACTTTCTGCAACACTGGCACGACTGCTGGCCAGCTTATTTAGGTTATACGAAAAGAGAAATGAGGGGTCAGAGTATATAAACACTCAAATAATGTGATACATATTAGAATGAACACGCTATCAGGAAGACAGACTGAGAAACACTGACTTTATTCGTTTGGCAACAGTCAGCAGAGTTGTGAACTAAAACCCATTCAAAAAACAAATAAAAATAAAACATTACACCATTAGAGTGGCACTCCACCTAAAATCTATCTTTGAGTTTGCTGAGGTAAAAATATGAGCTACTGGAACAAACTGAGCATGTAGGAGAAGGGAAGAGAAGCAAATTACACTCTAATAGTAGTTTTGACACGTTAAACCTACAATGAAAACAGATCCTTATTGGAATCCATTGTAATTAACATACATTTCACTTGACTAAAGCCTGAAGTGTTTAAAGCTTTATGATGGTGAACAGTTTGATTACAATCGGACATCGGAGCTAGGAGCCACTGGATCTGCTGTAGCTAAGACCCCCTCTGTGTTATAAACCTGACAACGGCCCATCAGCGTTAGCTCGACACTGCTGATGCCTAGGCCCGTTGACCGGTTAGCTCGCTAGCAATTAGCTAAATATATTTGACAGCACCTTTGCAAAAACCCACCGAAGAAGCTATTATTAAACAATGTTATATAATGCACGTGTCGTAACTAACTAATACTTGTCGCTGTCTCCTGGTATAACAATGGATATGACTACTGCTACCTGTAGACTGCCTGTCCACGTACCAGCGAATGCTAACGGTTGTTGGTTAGCTTATCAACAGGTTGATTTCAGCGGAAAGTGGTAATGTTAACATTAAAGGAAAGTAGCCTAAGTAAACGTTTCATGGACACATTCGCTACGTTTTAAGTAAAATGCTGATGACTAGACTATTCATTATTCTGCTAGAGCTGAGAGAGTTAGCAAAACCCTCGGCCACATACAGTGCTACACCTTCCAGGTAAGGGTAGCTGTCTATGTCGCTAACCTGGCGTTGAGACGTCACTGTCAAATCCACAATGTTGCCAAAGCGCGTTACTACAGCCTTGAATTGTTTCTAAACTAATTCAAGATATGTTCCACCTCCATATAATACAGTTAACGTTTGTGATCCAGCAAACCCCACAGATGCCATAACATTAAATGCTAGATTAACGTTACCTAACTAACCATTACCCAACTCCTGCTACCATTAGCAAGCTAGCCACTCTAGCTAACCTAGTGTAACTGATGCTAATTAGTAAACAGCTAACGGTGCTTATCAGAATATAGTTGCACACAACTCGCCGAATAACCAGTCAATTCCCACTTGTCTTACCGTCACCAATTTGGTTTTGACCTCGTCCAGGTCCCCGGTCTTCAATGCCCACATCAGCTCTTTATCTCCCATCTTCCTGTGTGTACTCCGGCGTTTCTCCTTTTTCTGTTGTGCTGCAGGGCAGTTGCAAAGTTAAATGTTATTACGTTAGAAGTTCGCTAGCTAGCGCTGGAAAACTCTTCTGTCGTTGCTGTGAATAGAGCTCGACTGAATAAAACGTCGTTTTAATACTCCAGAGAGCACTTTTAACTGGGTTTTGCTTGTAACTGAGACCTACCCGAAGAATCAAGGGTAAAATTAGGCTCTATAGAAGTTCTGAAAGGCAAAGTAGCAGAGAGGGATCCGCCTTTCTACAAGCACCTATTGTTACCGATGTCGTTAACTTCCGGGTAACGACATCGGAAAGCTACGGAAGAGTATTAGGGTCACTGCATACATTTTTTTTTAATTCTGACTTTATTCTCAGAATTTTGACTTTCATCTCAGAATTCTGACTTTATTCTCAGAATTCTGACTTTAGACTTTAAAGTCTAAAGTCAGAATGTAACATAATGTAGCATGTAACATAATCTTCATTTCTATCTGTGGTAAACACATTTTTTGAAAAATGAAATAAAATACACTAAAAATACAAAATAAAATAATTTACATTATATAAAGATGTTGATGACATAGATTATTGGTCATCAAGGCTGTTTTGCTTTATGATGAGGAAGACAGTCTTATTGACACAAAATAGACTTTACACATCATGCCATGTTTTAGGTCTACCACAGCACCACTCATAACTACAGTTATGTGTCTCATGCATAGCTATGACCAAATGTCGGTTTGGATATAGTTTGGTTACATGCAATGTATTGTCTTCAGTGAGCTGTAAAATGTTTAACCATTTTGATGTTTTAATTTAATTTCAACCATAAATTAACTAAATTGTGAACACAATAACACCCCTAACCAAGTCAAAAGAGAAAAAAAGTGCAAATAAATGCATCATTTGATCAAAATATAAGACGATAACAATTCCTGAAGAAAACAATAATTTCAAGGTACCCAAGGATCCAAAACAGTACTTGTTGGATACAGTCTGTACTTTCAGGGCCATCTCTATTGTCATTCATCATTTGAAAAACTGTTCAGTCAGTCCCTGATAAAAGAGGATCGACTACAAAAGACAACATGGCAGAAGGGGCAGGAGAAAACAATTATTATTTTACCTTGATCTGTAAAGGATCAAGGGCAGAGCAACCAAGTTCAAAGCAAAACCAATTGCCTTTTTGCCATAGGGTCATCACTAGAACCTCCTACATCTAAAGTACTCCCTGGCCAAATTTCTGGCCCCTAACCTTTTTCTTGCAGTAAAGAGAAGAGAAGAATGCTGCATACCCCTTCTCTCCAGCTGCTCCTTGTGAAATATAAGTGATCACAAAAGAGTTGTATACTATCATTATATGAAATCAGCAGCCATCTGTCCAGAGGATGACGAGGACAGTAAAGACATAATTTCAAGGATGTTGAGAATAAAAATGCTGTCAATGAGATTCAACCACTCTCTCATTTTCCTCCTTGTACAGCTCCCCTTTACAACATCCCTCACCCAGACATCTCTCAGATGTCTCCAGCACAGACACATACTACAGACCGAGCAACTGAAACATGGGCATTAAAGTCTTTTATGATAGTGACAAACTGTCCTGCCAGTGAACACTGGAGCCTTTACACCTAAATGGTAATAAGGACACAGATGACTACTGCCCAGGTTTCCCCTGCCTGATATGCTAATGTGACATATAGTATATGATTGAAAAGATTCCCAGTAATTTTAAGTTCAATTGCAGTCCAACTATTCATGCCTGTAATAATGATGTCTGCATAATAATGTACTTCTGGCTAGGAGTTACTGATGTCACATTCCATTATATATTTTCAAACTTTCATTTTGATCAGAAAAAACTTTATTTCAAAAGGATACTTACAGCAGGATGTATAGGATATCATTCATAGTGAAGGTTTATAATACACTTTTGCATTGTAAATAGCACATATTATAGCTGGTAACGTGACAAAGTAAGCCCCTGTTATGTGAATGAACAACATAATAAGATTTTCACAGAGAAAGATTTCTGCCTGACAGACACTTTAAAGTAATTCTATCCACTGGCATGACAGATTGGTACCTCCACTTTTCAGTCTATTAGTAGCTCTCAGGCAAGACAACTACACAATGCAGCTGTGTCCATTAAAAAGTCGAGATGGGGCTCAACTAAAAATGCTTTCTGCTCACCAGCTATCCAAAACATTCCTGTGGATAACACTCAATTGACAATGGACATGTGTTTTCTCATACTGGAACATTCAGTCCTGGCAGATGATTTAAAGAAGATAAAATAACTGATATTAATCTCTGAACTAAGTCAATTAGCTGTCTTGCATAGATGAAATAAAACCTTTTTATGAGGACTGAGGCTGTCTATTTCCTCAGAGAGATTATAAATGAAGCTTTAAAGCTGAAATGGTACATTTTGGGTTAGTAATTGTGCATAGACTCATTATTGCATGATATCCAGCAGAGAATGGGCAAGGTCTTTAAGAAATAAAAATTTAAAGTACCGATACTTTATTATAACATTCTGAGAGTTGTAATTATTTTGTAAATCAACACCTCACCTGCCAAACACATAATGAGGTCATAAAACATGATGCGTTATTTAATATACTCAGTGGTGGAAGAAGTACTCAGATCCCTTACTTACTGTAAGTAAAAGTAGCAATACAGTGTAAACATACTCTGTTACAAGTAAAGGTCCTACATTCAAAATGTTACTAAAGTAAAAGTACAAAGTTTTAGCCTAAAAAATACTTAATGTATCAAAAGTAAAAGTACTCATTATGCAGAATGACACATTTAACATTAATGCATATCACATTATTGAATTTTAATTAGTGAGGCATTATTGTGTTCATCACAATGTTGGAGCTGGTAAAGGGGGAGCTGGTTTTAAGTAGCTTATATGATTATAATTTGAAATACTTTACATACTGCTGGGTAGCTTGTGAACTTTCTACCAGAGGCCAATAAAGTGCTTATATCAATATCCTGTAATCTTTGTATTATTCTGGTTCTGAAGAGTAACTAGTAACTAAAGTTATAAAAATAAATGTAGTGGAGTAAAAGGTACAATATTTGCCTCTCAAATGTAATGAAGTCAAAGTATGAAGTAGCACAAAATGAAAATACTCAAGTGCAGATGTGTCAAAATTGTACTTAAGTACAGTACATGAGGAAATGTACTTAGTTACTTTCCACCACTGAATATACTTAGCAGTATGTGGAGGTACTGTACTAGCTGCAGCATTAAAATACCGGTTTAAGGAAAATGCAGCAACCGTCTCTGTTGCTCCAGGTGGGAGCTGTTGAGCTTCTGCTCCCCAAGACATCTTCATCTTTAACAACTTTACCTTAGTCTGCATTTGGCTTTTTGACACACATAACAGAATTACTATCACTTTAAAAAGTTGTCAGAGCAAATGTGTTAGCAAACACTTATTTACACACTGGAACATTTGCATTTGTTTATAACATACGTTTTAATTCAGAGCAGCCATTAGCATTCACATGATGAATGTACGCCCAGTATTCACTGTCTTATTAGTTCTGTGTTAATTTTCACCAAGTCCCTTGGAAAATTTCTGTCTTTTTATAGCTGCTAGCTGTTTTAATAGGTTCGCCAGGTAATTTCTAACTTTTTTGTTAATCTGCTGTTTGGTTCAGGTAGGCAGTGTACAAGTAAGTCCAATAAAAATGGAAGGCAGAAATGTTTTGTGGAGCTAAAGGGGGTCCTCAGAGTCAAGGGATACATCTCTGCTGGTTAATGGAACTTTTTCACATCACACATAGTTATTTGACAAATTGTTAATATTGAAAACTTTGATAGCAGCATCTTTAAATACTATATTTATAATTGTAGTATTGATACTTTTATTTCAGTAGAGAGTTTCAGTACTACTCCTACTGGGTAAAATGCCAAAGCTGGATGCTGAAGTAAGTGCCTATTAGTCTATGAATGTTCACCTTTCAATATTAAAATGATCATTTTTGTTGCTTTTCAATTTAGAATATCCATACCTACACTGGCATCAGCAATACTCAGTATAAGTGAAGGTGAAAATGAAATGAAAGTCTATGAGGTATGCTTTACAAAGTAAGTGAGAAATTTAGAGGATATGCAAAAATTGGGTTGTTAGGTTGGTTCTTCAGGCTACACAATAACAACAACTTACAATTAACCAAAGAGATGGGAATGTTGTGCTCATCTTTGCAAAAGAAACAAAAATCTCTAGTCATATGTGCACCCTCCCCCTCTCCAGTACGTCTCGAGACCATCCTCATCAAATTGATTAGTGTACTGAAGGGTGATGCATACTTACTGAATTGGTTTGAATTTATCTATCTCAGTTGTACATGGCCTTGTCTTTGTCATGGCTAAATGTGATGTGATTAGTGAGGCCTACTGTGACTGTAATAGAACCCCAAGGTATCTTGACTCCACAGCCTCAGCACAAACCTGGGAATGCACCGAGAGTCTCCTAAATGCCAGGTCTGTTCGCTAAGATAGCAATTACCAAGCCACCTGCTTCACCAACATTGTCAGGACTTGGGAACATATACAATAATCATAAACCATAAATATTTAAAACTTTAATATTTCAGAACTGTCCAAAAATTCAGTTTTTCTTAACCATAGACAAGCATATAAGCTATTGCATTTCTTGAAGTGCACTGAAACAAAAGATATTTATTACACTTTTTAAATGATTTGTTTCATTTAAAAATGTTTAATTCTTATCATGCAGCTTCACTTGGCAGCTATATTTTAGTTTGACATCATTAAATATTACACCAGAATGGTAAGGAGAAAAGGTGCTGCAAATACTGAGAAGTCTACAGACTGACAAAGGTGAATTTTCTGCAGATTCCCTCTCCAGCCTGCTCTAGTGTTTTGTGCGTCTTCAAGTGGAAGTGAAGACACTGAAGTATTGAAGTACGCCTGTGGAGTCACAGGTGGGACTGAATACCACCAGTCTATCATGTGCAAGGCAAAAGCAAACAGGCTGCTTGCTTAAAAAAATCTGAACAAAAATCCCACTCACAAAAATCTCCCTCAAATAATACAAAACATTATGTAACCAACACAACTCAATCAATACAATCTTTTAGTCACAGCAAACTTGTTGCTAAGATCTGTTTAATATGAAAGTACCAGCACCAAGTTTGGAATCAAAGCAATTTCTGTAACTCCCAGTAACATGGCACTCATGATTGATTTAGACCTCCAGCCTCTTCAATCACAGCTGGCCTGATATTGCATATAGTGCAAATTTGCTTTCTAAACTGGGAATGTATTATCCT